TCTCGTCGACTAATGGAGAAAGGACACAGAAGTTTGAACTGCGCGGGCAGCATCAGGCATATTACCACTCTCTGTCATGCCTGGTGTGTCCGTAACCAGAGCACTGCAAATGCTTGCCATGCCACCTGTTTCACAACCAAAAGGGCCCTCTGTACCCCATGATCATCGCCGCAATTCTTTTGCTGGTAATCTGCATAAAATAAATAGGCAAGTTGTTTATTGGACTTGGAGATCTATATGAATCCTTTTAATTACAGAATTCATACAAAAAAGTATTTTTTGAGATTTATAATCACTCCCTGTGATGAAACAGCGCATCTGTTTTTGCGAACTTAACTGTCCTGAGGTGGTCAACACGTTGTTGGCCGGTCTTAGCCAATTTCAAAGACTTTCGAAACCTGATGGCTCGGAGTGATAAAATTACAAACATTGTATGGATAATGAGAGTGAATCAAATTCTTTGAAATATTACTCACGCATCGGCCAAAGTATTTGAAAGCTAATGGTAGATATTTTTATTTCTTTTTCCTCTTCACTGCGAGACGTTGTGGTTTATTGCAAAGAAAATTCCAAAATTAGCAATATTTGTACCACAAATATTGTCAAGACATTACTGGCCCCACTTGTCTGGCTAAGCTGCAGGCACCGTAATCAGGCATTTTTGGAATGTTTACTGTCCGTCGGATCTGGGCGGCGATGATCATCGAACACTTCGATGTGCCAGAGTTGTAACTCCTTCTGTGTCCTTCCGCTTCCTCCATGGTCGAATCAAGGGTCCACGTGACTGAAACTGGAGGACTTTCTTCAGTTTCTGAGTATGGCCGAATTATTTCAAACTCGCCCTGTCCACATTCGGATAGCATCGTTGATGTTCGGGTATTTGGCCATATCTGTACTCATCATTTTTCTTTTGCTTTTTGCCCCATTCAACACAATTTTGCTCTCTTCCTACGCAGTTGTTGGAGTTTCTTTTATGTTTTCAAAGTGACCGCCACCATCAACAGCTTGTATGTACATCTAAACATAGGATCCACCTGGGGCTTTTCTTGTGATCCTTGACATGTTCATATGCAGCAAGGTATGAGACGGAGGGAACCC